GGGGGGAAGAGGATTATGAGGGGAAACAGAGTGGGAATAAGGGTAAAACGGTAATTTCAGAGGGGGGAGTGATGGGTTGAAAGGAACAATACGGAGTGGGGGAGAGAGATGAAGAGTATTCTCACCAGAGATGCTACACCCTAGCCTCCTTCTGAGTTCTCTCCTCTCCTTATTTATTGTTTTCCTCGTAAAATTTAGAGATAAATTTTAAAATCAAATGAATTTGGGAGGTTTATTTCATGTAATTTAGATTAAAAAGAGAGTTTGTAAATACATGAAATTCAAAAGAGTTTTAACTTTTTGAATTTACAGACGGTATAAATTAGTAAAATTAACTGAGGTCATAATATTGGCTATATATAGCTTTAGGTCAAAGACAGGATGGTTTGAGGTGATGGATAGAAATTTACGAGTTGGTCTCGCCGGAAACTCTTCTTATGTATGTATATATGCATGTATGTATGCATGCATGTATGTATGTATGAGTTTGACCATAGATATGTTTCTATTTAAATTTGAGAGAAATAAATGAAGCATAGGGTCCACTTTATATGTATCATGTATGTGTTGGCAGACAGCATTGAATAATTTATCACCTTATTATATGTTATTAAATGTCAGCACCTGTGGTGCTTCATTATAAACATATTGACGTGTGTCTTCTGTACGCCTGTATATATATTCTGCGATCGTTCTTTTGGGTACTTCCTCCTTTTGTTATTGTTTGTATATTTTTCTATATAATCGGAGTTTAATAAATATACAATAAATAAAGACGAAATATTTAGAACATCCTTTTCTATCGTAAGAATTGATTTCGAATTATAAAATTAAAGGGAAAAGGAAATTTAAAAAAAAAACGAAGAATGCACGAAATCGCGTGACTATCTTTTTCTGCATTTCCTGATTTGTCGCATCTATTAATGACCAAAACACAGATTTCAATATAACCAATATATATATGAATATATATTATAATTATATATATATACACACACAGACGAGACGACTTTGGTCATATGGCCAAAGCCAACGTTATTATATTTGCATGGATTTGAGCCGTAATAGTCAAAGGGGCTTTTGTCTCCTTCGACACGTGGGACCCGCCCTCTCCGTTCGTACTACGTTCTAAATTATTTTTATTTTTTAAATATGTGATTGGACAGCACTTTGTTCTAAATTATTGTTGTTTAAAAAATTATCGTATAACGTTTGCGAATTTTGGGTTTGATGATATTAAATACTCTATATTTGTTTTATTTGGATTCGTATGAATTTTAAAGTACAGATGAATAATTACGAATGTCCAAATATGTATGGTATCTTAAAAATTACATCATTTAGCCTCATTTTCTCTTCTTTCTCTGATACACAAATATTTTACATAGATATCTCGAGAGATATCTCCAAAATATTCGATATCTTTTAATGATAAATCTAGAATCGAATTCCAAAAATTCTTAACTGTTCAGATTGAAATTAAATATGCCATATTATTACCATTGCCTCTATAGTGTTCAAATTCTGGATTTTCCTTTATTATTCCCGATAATCCACTTCTTCACATGTAATGTATTTTGGTACAAAATCCAAATTTTAAATTCAACGATTTTTTTTAATATTTTTTGGTTAAATGTTAGTTATGAAATATTCTTATTTAAATTACGACAAAAAATATTACGAAGAAATTAAATCATCAGTATATAAACAAACTGATGTCAAGAACCATCATCATGTTTAGGTAGAGACCGGCAATTTGTTGGTTTTGTACGAGTGGAATGACGTGCCAGCGCGGTCGCAAATTGTACTCTTTTGGACGGTTCAGATGTAATCGGGGGAGAGTGGGCCCCACTGGTTCACATTGAAAAGAGGAATGCTTGGTTACGTGGTTACGCTTATTCTGCTCCCGGCGAAGAATACCATGACTGTCGCTGCTTTGCTTTCTATCACAAAAACGGTAAAAAAAAAAAGTTTCTCGGTTAAAAAAAACATATATTTCACCACTTTTCTTAATGTGTGGAATTCGTATTGTGATTTGACTTTTTTACCCCCTACTCCGCCGTTTTTTTTTTCCCCTTTTTTTCTTCTTATTTTGCTGATCTGTTCAAGTTTCTCACCAAAAGAATGAAAAGAGGTAGCAAATACAAACACATGGATGAATACATAGTAACGAAACCAAGCAGCAATTTTTTTTTCCCAACTCCGTAATTCTTCAGCTCCATGGCTTATATTGCATCTTTTCCTGCCCCCCCCCCCCCAGTCGACAGTTGTGCACGCTCCATTCCATTTAGTCAATAATTATAATTTTGATTATGTTTTTATTTAAAAAAAAACACGTTTTTGTCTCTATTAGACATTTGCGTTTCATCATTTTAGATATTGTAAGAAAGCGGGTTTTCAAGATATCACCGCAGTAAAATCTTATTAGCCGTTAGATCTCAACGGTTAAATGCCCAAATCCATTAATGTTATCCACGTCATCAGGTGTACAAATACCCCACCAACCTGCACCTACACCTGATCACTCCCCCCCCCCCCCAAAAAAAAAAAACACAAACAGAGATGGAAAATTCATGTTCTTGAGTTACGGTATGCGTTTGCATCGCTGCTACTGCTTCTGTAGAAGCTTGCCATTCTCCGTGACAGCGACGATGAGGTCGAGTTGCTTTCTCTGCTGCTCCTGCAAAGTCACAAGCCAGCTTTCTTGATCTTTGAAGGAAAACTGGTTACAAATATACTGTTGGTCCATACATGAGGCATCCCATTGCTAGAAACTACCCACCTGCATAGCAAGCAGGACCTTCTGAATCTCGCCGAGCTCCTTCTGTAGAATGTCTTGTTGTGCAGCTAACACTCTTGTGGCCTCTGAATTCTTTTGAGCCAAAGCTGCTGTCTTCATACAAAAAAAACAACAACAAGACCAGACCCTTGAGAGATGCTATGCGTTCATGCAAGATTGGTCTGATGCAAAAAATATCCTTACAGCATGAAATAGCTAACACTGATCAATCACAATAACCCGGAAGAACTGTGCTTCCACCATCCACAGCTCAAACTAGAGTTAGGGGTCCAAACATGTAAGAATCTTTTTACGACAATTAGCGAAGTTTCTTGCTCAATGCCCGACAATTGGACTTTACATTAAACCATGAATCCAATTGTTTGTGAATGCTAAAATGCATCTTGTGAGGGCTATTCATGTATGTAAACCCATCACTAAAACTCTTCTCCCAAATCTTTATTCCAACACCAGAATACTGGAACATCTCATCCATCATTCTCAGGGCTCAGGTATTCAAGAACCCGTTATCTATTCCAAAAAAAAAAATCACTTGATTAACACACATCTACTGTTTCTTTCTTCCATTTCATATCGATTCTTACAGCTGAACCAAACGTCGGATGCCATCTTGCGTGAACTACATCACGAGTCAATCCTAGAAATTGAGTCAACTTATATCAACCCCAAGCTACTTAGATGAGCAAAGCTCGAGAAACAAGTAGAGTTTCGTTACCTCAGAAATCGGCTCTTTCAGAGACTTCCTGGTGATACGAAACCGGATCCCCAGCTTCTCCAGCTGTCTGGAAAGAACCCTAACAATGGTTGCCGAAGTTCTTAAATCCTCGTCCAGCTTCTCTAATCTCCCAATCAAATTCCACCTCTCGCTCTCCTCCGTTCCTCTGCAGATCATCCTCCATTGCCGCCGGCGCAGCCAAGAACCAGAGGCAACCGCGCCCACCAATCCAACGAACCCCCAGGCCAAAACCCTTCTCCCAATTTCACCGGAGACCGTGTAATTAACCGCGAGAAACACCGCGATTACGGCGGACGACAAGACACAGAGCAGCTCGGCGAATGCAAGAAAGCTCCCAAAATCGAAATCATCGGATAAGGAATCTCGGCGATCGGAGGAAGAAGCAGAGGCGTATGATCGAAGAGAAGAGGCGTGGGCACTCGGATTCCGTTGGCATTCGAGGCGGCTGATGAGGAGAGGCTGGGCGGGCAGTCTGGGAAACCGGCGAGAAGACGATACGGCGAAGCAGAAATTGGTCCTGGAGACGAAGCGAACACGAGGAGAGCCGGAGAAGATGTATCGAGAAGGAAGCGACAACGACATTATCGTCCCCTGGCGTTGCGGCAGTTGCGCTAGTCTTACTCACTTCACTACTAGAGAAATGGCGTCGAACTCCGATGTCTAATCTCAGAGAGGCTAAAATGCGCTGCGTCTGCGTGGTGTACTGTAAGTATTACATGCTGGTTTTAAACCATTTCATTAACAAACAATGTAACACACAAAAATCCAATGATTGTCATTTATGTAAAATCTAACTACTGAAACACAATACATTTCTTTTGAAACTGAATATTTTATCAGTAAAAATAGAAACCCGAACCAAGCTCAAATCAATATGAAAACCAAATGATTATTGTGATTTTAAAAACCGATGGAAACAATTACCCCTATATTATCTTTTTTTTTTTAAAAATCAATCTCGGGATATGATAGTTAATTCTACGTATTTACGGTCACGCAATATATACACATACACACACACATTGAAAGGCGTTCTTCAAGTAACAATGAACCGGGTGGAATAAGACGGCATCATCTGCAGTGGACGAACGAAATAAGGTAACATGGATAGAAACGGATGCGTACCACCAATAAAGCATGGTGGAGGTTCAAGGCGAGAGATGTCTATCCGTACATCACGGTACATTACAAGTTCGGGCGAAACGCAAGAGATGCGTAATAAACTCAAGGGATTGCATTCATACGCACGCGACACAATCCCTCACGTCGTAGTACATCAGTCCTCTCTAGGAGATTTATTATTATTGGTACGGCATGTACCTCATTGGCCTTCTGAACCTAGGAGCCTTCCTGCATTTACCCAATAAACACGCCGTAAGAAAAAAAAGGAGCCGTGACGCAATTTGGGCACTGCAGAGGAAAAATGAACGAACCCGTATCCGTATGGGGAGTAAAAGTAAGGAGGCACAAAGGGCCTGCGGAATCGGTAACCCATGTACGGGTTGAATTGCCTCCCTCGGTACTGTTTCATTCCCGGAACGTTTGTTCTCTTTGGCATTACCTGCGAAATTTCTCTCTAAATCGATATACTGGTCTCTCTCAGCGTTCATTCGGTATCCAGAAATACACTTACCTTCAGTTGCCGTCCATGCAACTCTGATTCGTTTAGTTGCAGAGCCTCTTGCACGGCTTCAACTTCTACAAACTCCACGTAAGCGAATCCCTTTGGCTGTCCGAACTTGTCTGTCAGAATGGTCACCCTGTTCACAGTGCCACATGCTTGAAAATGCTGTTGCACTTCCTCCGGTGTACAAGCATAATCAACCTGCACGATCCAGCTCAATCATAATTCAGCAAAGCATAAAGAATCATATAACCCATGGAATTTAAGCAGATTAATTCAATTAATTCTAAACAAGAATTTAAGCCACTAGGCTCATGGTAGCTGGATCAAAGAGCTTTCTTCTTTCCCCCCTCAAAACCCATCGGACAGGACAACCCTATGTTCGGCATATAACCCTTCTCCTCTAGGTTAAACAAAAACAATACACAAATCAAGACAAATGGTGGCGAAAGATTATGCTTCAGCATGCTTAATGTTAAACAGAACACCCTAGGATTTATAAGAAAAACATATCATGAGCTTCTTTATTTAGAAAACATGGATAATAACCATTATCCCCGGTTAACATCAAACAACTTCCTCTCATCGAATCTGAATAAAGATCAAACTCATTTGAGATCCAAATACCATTGCCAGAGACATCAGCCTTCACTTCTTCACAAGAAAGCATCCAGTTACTGCACTCTCTTCTTCAAGAGACAACCCCCTCCTCGATGATGGCAAAGGACTTGTACATTCTACTCCTAAACAGCTTGTAAAATGTTTCTCCTTTCTCGATTCTGACTGTTTTCCAACTTCCTACTTTACACAACTCAAGCAATCTTTCTACATATCGTTTTGCTTCTCATCAATTTTCCTCTTTTTCTTTTTTCTTTCCGTAAACATTTTTATTTTTTTTACTTTCTTTTCTTTTCTCACTTTTTTTCTTTGCATTTCTTTTTTAACTATTCTCATCAAATTTCATATCAGCAGGAGACCTTTTTTCAATATTATACCAAGAAAAAACGTGGAGAATACAATGAAACATAGTTTGACAATCCAGAGCAACCCTGCGACCATAGTAAGACATTGAGTCAAACCATGACTCTGGAGTCTGGAGCTGCAAAGCACCCGTAAGAGAAGCGTTCAATACATAAAACTAAGAAATGCACTGCAAGATCTTCAAGAGAGAAAATAATATCAGAAGAGAATAGTAGATGATCAACCATAGCTTTTCTGCTAAAACAAACAAACCCAAAAATCAATTGTGATCAAGAGGTCTATCTTCTAGCCTAATACAGTTACAGCTAAAGGCTCAGTCTCTACAATGAAAACTTCATCTTCCTTATCTAATGGACCTGCTAATACAATAGCATGAATCTTCATCATCATCATCACACATGAATCTTTTGTTCAAGAAGATTAAATGATATCTCCAACTGAAGTTTCACCTCATCTAGATACTAGAGTACAGTGCGCTAAATGGGCACAGAGAAACTACATTCATGAATAAAGTAGAAAATGCACTATGATACACAGGAAATGCATGGCATCACCCCCTAGATATAAATGGTTCAGGAGATAAACAAAGACAAAAAGAAAGCAGGAAGCTAAAAGATATGGTTTCTTACATTGCCAACGAAAACTGATCGAGAATCCACCTCCTCTTTGCTTGCTTGATTCGCAGCCATGCCTGCAGGATCTGCAAAATCAATCAACTGAACATAAGATGCAGCGAAGAAGCAAGACAGCCGATTCCTAGGAACTTCAACAAAAAAAAAGATCAACTAAAGCACTGCCAAAATAGCAAGCATATCATCCAAAGAGAAGAGATCAGTAATTCAGTATAGAAACCCATGTTTCAAATTCCACCCGAAACGAATTCTGATAACTCAAGTTCAAAAAGCTCCAAAGACCCAATATTATAAAAAAAAAACTTGCCAAATGTCAAGAAAACACAAAGACAGCGAAATAAAAAAGAAAAATCAGAAACCTGGAACAGCACCCATCTCCTTCTCCACTTTCGCCTGCATCTCGCGAAGTGCTGCAGCCTCTTCCTCCATCTCCTTCAGTCGCTTCTTCATCTCATCTAGCTCCTAGCATAACCAAAAAAATCCAAACACCAAAGCCAGACACAGATAAACACAGACGCCTGTGAATCAATAGTTTCCGCTTCCAATTTCCGACAAATTATAGATGAGTACATGAAAAACGCATACACGATATCAAATGGAAATAGAGAGAGAACAATAGAAGGAGACCTTGACGGCGTCTTCATCGGCGGCGGACATGTCGATGTCAGGATTCGGAGCGTCCACCTCTCCTTCCATCTCCCCAACATCGGGAATTTCTCCTCCGTAGACCTCGTGCTCCTCCTCCTCCATCGTTCTCCTTCTCGCTGCAAAAGAGCAAAAAGAAAAAACACTCCGTCGTCCGTTTCGCCGCTCCTTTTCTGTTGAAATCGATTAGGGCACTTTTTCCCGATGCCGATAGCAACACGTAATCGCCGAATCAGGACCGCCCACGTGGCAACACAAAAAAGAAGCCCTACTATAATTTCGGGCCAGGGTAAATACTATGGGTTTGCCCCAGTGAAAGATAATATGTTAAAATTCCAGGAATGGCCCAATATAAATATAAAATCACGCGGTTAAAATATTTTGATATTTCAATTTGGTCCTCATAATTCTGGGAAATTACCTTATCAGTGACATCAGCGCCTGACGCCGAGATCATTGTCGATATGTCATTTCACCGCCCCGTCTCCGAGACCGTCAAAACCAGCCAATACATTTCGGCCACGTCGACATTAGCCAATGGATTGATTACGAGTTACCGTAAGCTCGAGCGTAGCAGATCACATGAAAAGCTCCTTTCCCATTTCTCCTCATCAGTCAAAAAAGAGTTTGTAGCTGAACTGGAACAAAAGGAAACAGAGAGCTTAGCTTCAGAGAGGAAGAGAGAGGTTGAAGATGACGAGCGGAGGATACGGGGACTCGTCGGCGAAGATAGACTACGTGTTTAAGGTGGTGTTGATCGGCGATTCGGCGGTGGGGAAGTCGCAGATACTGGCTCGGTACGCGAGGGACGAGTTCAGCTTGGATTCGAAGGCCACAATCGGCGTCGAGTTCCAGACTCGGACGCTTGTTATCGACCACAAGAGCGTCAAGGCTCAGATCTGGGACACCGCTGGCCAAGAACGGTAATGATCTCTCCTTGGGCATCTCGAGCTCTCTCGAACTTCGTATGAACATCTTTTCCTCGTTGGTATTGGATCTGTTGGTTTGTCTGGAATCGATCTCTGTGGATTCCCTTGTTTCTCTGCAGCAGAAGAGTTGTAGATGAGCGTTGAGTTTCGAATTTCGAATTTGAGACGCCTGTTTATCTGCCTAGAGATTAGGATTGGTTTGCGGTTAAGATTCGATTTTATTTAGTTCATGGGGAATTTGAAGGAAAATCGGTAGGAACTTGAAGATGAATTAATGAGATCGAAGAAATGCTATACAGCCTACAGCTAGCTTACTAATAATAATACTATGAAGATCCAGTCTCTACAAAGCATCCGCAAGTCATGCCATCGTTGTAGCTGTAGTGAATGTAGTTTGCATTAGAACTCATCTTCCGATTGGAACTCATTCCGGCCTTGTTTTGGGTCAAATACTGAAGGATTTTGCTTTTGTTTTGGCTGGAATTAAGTCTATCTTTGAGCGCGTATATTAGTTCACATGCGAAGAACATTCTGTTCTTACAAATTTACTGATGAATTTCTCCCCAATACAAGGATCATATCTCGAACCATTATTCTTGCGAGTTGCCTATATGAAGCATTCTGATTATGATACATACGCTATCTTGTGCGTCTACTTCATTTTTGGGGTTCGCTTCTGATATGAGCTCTTGGAATGTCGCCTCATACAGATACAGAGCGGTGACAAGTGCATATTACCGGGGAGCTGTCGGGGCAATGCTAGTTTACGACATAACTAGACGCCAAACCTTTGACCACATCCCCAGATGGCTAGAAGAGCTGCGTGCTCACGCCGACAAGAACATCGTGATAATCCTTATCGGGAACAAATCCGATCTCGAAGATCAACGGGCCGTTTCGACGGAAGATGCCAAGGAATTCGCAGAGAAGGAAGGTCTTTTCTTCTTGGAGACATCAGCCCTAAACGCAACAAACGTCGAATCTGCCTTCTTAACTGTTTTGACAGAAATCTTTAACATAGTGAACAAGAAGAGCCTTGCCGCTGCAGAAGATGAAGGGAACAGCAATCCTGGTTCGCTTGCTGGTAGGAAGATCAACATCGTTCCGGGACCGGCACAGGAGATACCACCCAAGAGCAGCATGTGTTGTAAGTCTTAAACCTATCGAATTCTTGATATTATTCACAGATTTACAGTCTTAAATGGCAAGATTTTGGTGGGTATTGTTTGTTCCATGAGCATATATATGGTTGGTCGGGTCTTTTGCTATCTTTGCTGTATCAATTTTTCTGTCAAGACACTATTTGTTCGTGTTCATCTTTTCTCCTGTCGGAAGTAATATCTACCGCGGTGCAATAAATCAATTAGTTTCGCCGAATTGCCGTGATGCGATGAACAAGTACAGATCATCAAACAGAGTATTTTTTTGTTTGTCAAACCTCTCCCCAGGTGTCTACCATTGATTCGGCTGAGGTGATAAATTAGACTAAAGTGACAAAAATAAAGAAACAGCCTTCGAATGTTATCTGCATGTCATTTGAAAAACACAACGTAAAAGATGAAATCTCCCACCAAAAACCCATAACAGAAAGTGAGAACTTAAGCAGAAACAGATGGCTTGGAGGCAGCAGAAGAGAGCCTCGACCTTTTCTTGGCCAGACTCTCACTGCGACGCTCTCTCTGCTCCTTCAAGCGGGTAGCCAGAAGCTTCTGGTACTCAGCCGCATCGGAGTTGGCCTTTGCGATTCTCTTCTTCTTCTCCGCAATTCTTCCTCTCTTCCTCTGCAGCGTCAATGGAGTCACCAGCCTCTGTATCTTAGGTGCCTTGCTAACCTTCTTCCCTGCAAAAGCACCAACAAAAAATGGATCTTTTGTCAATACTTAGGAAGACCCTTTTGATGGAAGAGGAGTTCTGAACTTGTTTGAAGCGATATATCTGCTTATGCTTTACCGGTTTTCGTTGTGAAGGTGCGGCGGTATGTGTTAACATACTTCCTGACATCGTCCTCCTTGGAGAGGTTGAACAATTTCCGGATCTTCGATGCCCTTTTCGGCCCCCTCATTCTCGGCTTCTCGGTGTCGGTTAGCCCGGGAAGGTCGTTCTCACCTTTCTTCACAATGACAAGGTTCAGGACCGAGAGGTCCGGGCTGACTATGCATCCACGGACAGACTTTCTTCTCCGCTCTCCGTTTCTCCTACCGTACCCTCTGAAGCAAGGGGTGCCTACCCAAAAAAACATTTAAAGTGAATTGTGTAAACCTCATACAGCATATCACTGATTTGAAACTAAATCCAGGGGATTAGAGATGAAAGAAACAGAGTTGTACCTCGGTGAAGTAAGAGACGGACACGGCCCGGAGTGAGAACTCCCTGCTTCATTGGGAAACCCTGTTTGTCACATCCTCCCATGATCTTGAAGATATAACCCTTGAACTCCTGTAAAATCAGGCAGAAAAACAAACAAACTCAACAATGTTTACACAAACAAAGAGAAGGAATTTCTCAAACACATGAAAGGATTTAGAGAAGTGGAACCATACCTCTCCCAAGGCATCTCCACTGACTTCCTGAGAGATCCTCTTGTCAAAGAAAGCCCGGCTGCATCATCAAATTTCAAACAAGACTAACTTCATCCAGAAAGGAATGAGACAGAACTGAGTGAGATCACTAGAATCGCTCCAACAAAGAAATATCAGGAATATTCACTACATATAGCAGGAGAAAACAAACTCAAAATTCTTAATCCAAACCCGTTAAAGCAATCACAGCTGTCCAAATAATTAACAGATTAATTAACGTAAATTAGCTAGCTTTTGCTCACATATATACAGTGGTATGGGCACTTTTGTGATAAGTATATGAATACAATATATCATATATATATATATATATATATATATATATGTATAGAGTAAACTTCATGTAATGGAATATTATTAGAGATGGCTCTTTTTCTTCAGCCATTTCTTTATATAAATGCACTATGCACATGAAACAATGAGGACTTCTTCCACAAACCCAAAAAAGAGGCAATGGCTCATGAAGAGAAAGTCATGAAGCACAAGAAAACTCTCATCGCAAGCTTCTCCACCTCCATAAATTCGACATCATCATCATCATTAGGACAACACAGCAACAACAGCAAATCCGAAAAAACCACAATAATCCCATCACAAATAGACAAACTCCCACTTTCCACATCGGAAACAACTGTCCGATGCAAAAACATCAACACCAACATCACCAAAACGTCGTACAGAGATCATCAATTAATCAAGAAGAAGATGCCGTCGTGAAGGGAGGGAGGAGAAAAACAAACACAAAATCTTAATCCAACCCCGTTAAAGCAATCACTAAATCGTATCCAGAGAGGCGCATTAGCATAACCCAGCACCATGTCAAGCTACACCACGACTTTACTAAATCAGAGCATGAAAGCAGAAGAAAAACTTACAGTTTCTGATCATCATCGATCTCGAGCTTCTTCTGGCAACCAGTAGTCGGATTCGCAATGTTGAACTAAAACAAAGAAGAAAAGGCATCAATATAAGAAACACTAGAGAGAATTTCTGCGAAGAAATTCAGAGAAGAGCGGAACTCGCCTTCATCTTCACAGAGCCACAATACCACGCAGCGAAAGAAGATGAACAACAACTGCTACTAGGGTTTTATTCGCTACAACAGCCAACTTATATATATAGAGGGACACTAAACGGGTCGGTTTAGGAATAAACCTAATGGCCCGGCCCACGATAAATTGGAGAATTTAGGAGCCCATTAGAATTTAACAGCTAAATACTATCCCAATGAGCCTGTGGGGCCCTTAACACAAAAATATCATCTCCCACCAAATAATAGGAGGTAGTTATTTTACGGAAAATCTTAAAATAATATCCGAACTTTTTAATTTCTACAAAATAAAATCTAAATTTTATTTTTTATCAAATAAAAATAATTTTTAATCCACTCCCATCATCGTCCACGTTCCGATATCGTGACACGTGGACGATGATATGTCAAATACGGTCAAAGTGTTAACTTAATAAGTAGGATATCGGAATGCCACATCAGTAATAGAATTAAAAATGACAAAAATTATAAAAAACAAAATTTAATTTTTATTTTGTTGGATATTTTCTATTTTATATTAGAGCTTTTAGTTTAGAGGTAACTTGATAACTATTCGAATAACTAACCAGGAGATATTAAAAGTCATCTCAATCCAAATCGTTCAGGTATATTTTTTTTATAACCGGTTTCGAATCCGAATTATTCTATAACCCATTTTCAAATCATATTAAAAAACTATGGATATCCAATTTTCCGGATAAATTTTAATACGATATATAACCCATTGTATGATATATGGTTCTGATCATAGTATTGGGCGAACCTACACGCATATGAGTGGGGGCATTTGCCCCCATCCACATTTAAAAAAGTAATAATAATTCTTATAATTTTTATTTAAATTGTAATAATGCCCCCACTAAAATTTAAGTGGTGCCCCCTCCATTTTTTTTTACTCTAAATCTTATTTTCAATTTTATTCTTCTATCAATTTCACATTTTCCTTCGTTTTTTAAAAAAAAAAATCCAACTCCAAAATTCTATTTAATCTTTGATAAAAAAAAATTATAAATTCATATAATCAAATCCAAAAAACTAAAAAGTAACAAAAAATAGGTAAGTATTATGAATTTGATTTTAAATATTTTTTATGTTTTATTCATTTATTTTTATATTTTTATCATATTAATAAATTTATTTTTATATAAATCTCATGTTTGATTTAACCAATTGATAAATTTCTCAAAAAAAAGTTATAGGTTAAAAAATTTAATGATCTATTTGACGAGATAAATTCACTAAATTTCTCAAAAAAAATTTATAGGTTCAAAAATTTAATGATCTATTTGAATTTATATAGTAGTTTTGAGTCTTGTTAAGTCATTACGCGAGTTTAACATGTCAAATTTGATGAAATTGGTTGGATTTTATTCCGATAACTTCAATTCTTCAGAGTAAATATATCTTCAACATGAACTCAATATCTACATCAGTAATTTGATGGAAGATGATAAATTTTCAAATTTGATTAGTCTTGCAGATCTTACTGGTGGAAATAAAGAAATATTTTTTGTATCCATTAGCATACAGACTTTTGAAATTGGCTTTAATTTTGTTCGTTTCGTTGTCATCGCAACTGTTGAGAAATATTTGAACTTTGTAAACACAACTTTGCGCAGTCGGATTGGTGATCAGTTTTTGAGTGATTATCTAATTTTTTTATCGAAAAAATATATTTTAGACAATTATAAAATAAAGTTATGGATAGATTTTAAAAAATCAAAAATCGTAAAATTTATTTGTAAAACGAAAAATATTTTTGTGATGATATATTTTTATTAGCTTTTGTATTTTATATAATATTTAAAATTATTGAATTGTCCCCGTTAAAAAAATTTTCTGGATCCGCCAGATCATATATATATATATATATATATATATATGACATCATCATCATCAT